TGTACAAACATAGATTCAATGTGATCAAACATATAAGCTGTATCGAGTATAGTTTATGAGACATATATTCAGCTAGTTAAATTCAAGAATTCATTTTATTCTACATTTAATCGTTAGTATAGCATTTTATGAGTGAAAATTCTTCGCGTACTTACTTAAGTACTAACAAAAGTCCTGAGATTATAACCAGAGTATCCTTGCGGGAGAACGTGAGTTTGTGTATAGATCTATACGGGATTGACAATCCCGCACCATAACTGTTAGCTACAGTTAGGCCGGCAGGCCTGGGTGACAAAGTCATTTCGATTCCGACGCCTGAAGAATGTCGTTCAGGCAATCCAATGGTCAAGTATGGTTATAACAACTCATAAATTTGGTACTAAGAATATACGATTAATGTATGAATGGTAATAAATTCACTTAGTTTTATTATAAAGTAATCGAACTACTATACATATTAAAGTTTTCAGAGCTTTCCGAACTTACTACACATACTGGTGATAGTCATACACATACTGGTGATAGTCAGGATTTTTCATGTAAAAAGGGATTTCTCATTCAAAACAAACAATGCACAACACATTCAATGGTAACTAGACATGTAAACTAATACATTATGAGATTCAGTAATAAAATACACATGTTAGAAAATAATGGATTTTCTTGGGAACATACAAATACTTTCATTGATTTATTAACATATTTTCCTTACGAAAACATGCGTATGAACTCACCAGCTTTATGCTGATACTCTTTCAAAACTGATTGTATTCTCAGGAAATCAGTAGACAGGTACCTCACACAGATTTTGAGAAGACGGAGCGTATAGAGTCACGTCTTTTACTTTTGTTATACTTTTGATGTATATAAACATGAATCAAATCGATGTAAATATTTTACTTAATCAATGTAATGGTTGTGTTTACTTTGATTACTATGATGCAATTGTTGTGATACTATACATGACGTCATCCACCCCTAAACGTTTCTGCCGTTCCGGTTTGGGGGTGTAACATTACAGGAATGGTTCTTGATAAATATATTCCTGATCATCGTCCGATTCTGTTGGTGGAGCATAGTGTCGATTATGGCCCAACTCCTTTTCGGGTTTTCCATTCTTGGTTCAGGTTGGATGGCTTTGATGAGATTGTTCATCAATCTTGGCCTATCGGTATAGAAGGGGACCAGGTGGATAATCCTTGGGTTATTTTTAAGAAGAAACTTCAACTTCTTAAATATAATCTTAGGATTTGGAATTCGTCCATCCGAGATCGCTTGACTGGCAACTCTAAAATTTTGAAGGAGGAGTTGGAGGTGATTGATGCTTCTCTTATGATCAATGAGGGAACTACTGACCTTCGCCAACGTAGGGTTTCGGTTCTCAAGGAGTTGTTGGATTTGGAGCATATTTCGAGGGTTGAGTTAGCCTAAAAGGCGAAAGTTCACTGGAATATTGAGGGTGATGAAAATTCAGGGTTTTTTCATGGTGTTATTAATCGGAAAAGGAGGCAATTAGCCATCAAATGTGTTTTGATAGATGGCAAGTGGGTGGTTGATCCGACTAGAGTGAAAAATGAATTCCATTATTTTTATAGGAATCTTTTTTCAAAGAAAAATGTTAGTCGTCCGTCCACCAATACATCCCTTTTTAATACCCTGTCTGGGGAGCAGGCTCAATTTCTTCAGGCTCCTTTCTCTAGCGATGAGATTAAAAGAGTTGTTTGGGATTGCGGTTCAGATAAGGCTCCAGGTCCAGATGGGTTTACTTTTGGTTTCTTGAAGCGGTATTGGGATCTTATTTCAGAGGACGTCTCGACTTTTATTCATCATTTTCATAACAATTGCTCCATTCCTATTGGATGCAATTCTTCTTTTTTCACTGCCATCCCGAAGGTTCGTGATCCTAAGTCTATTAGGGACTTTAGGCCTATTAGTTTAATTGGTTGCCAATATAAAATTATTGGCAAACTCTTAGCTAATAGGTTAGTAGAAGTTATTGGTTCTGTGGTGAGTCTGGAGCAATCTGCCTTCGTCAAAGGTAGACAAATTTTAGATGGTCTATTTCTTCTTAATGAGGTGGTGGCTTGGAGCAAGTGGTCGAAAAATCCGTTGATGATTTTTAAATTTGATTTTGAAAAGGCTTATGATTCGGTGTCTTGGGATTATATTTTGGGGATGATGCAAATTATGTGTTTTGGTTCTATTTGGTGTTCTTGGATTTTAGAGCTTCTTCGTTCAGCTAGGGTTTTGGTGTTGGTAAATGGCTCGCCTACTAGGGAATTTCAGATGCAGAGAGGTTTGAGACAAGGAGATCCCTTATCCCCTTTTCTCTTTATCTTGGCTATGCAGGGATTACATGTTGCTTTGCAAAAAGCACATCTTCAAAATGTTTTTAGGGCTGTCTCTATTTGTGGGATTCATATCTCACATCTATTTTATGCGGATGATGTTGTTTTGGTGTCTCCGTGGGATCCCAACAATGCTAATTCAATTCTTCGTATTCTGTGATGTTTTTATCTTGCTTCGGGTCTTAAAATTAATTTGCTGAAAAGCAAGTTGATTGGGGTTGGTTTCTCTAAGCCTCAGGTCGAGTTGGTGGCTCGAAAGTTAGGGTGTGCTCCGGATTATCTTCTTTTTGTTCATCTGGGTGTGCCAGTAGGTCAATGTATGTCCAGAGTTACAACTTGGTCTCCTATTGTTGATCATTTTCGTTCCAAGTTGTCGGGGTGGAAGGTGAAAACTCTCTCTTTTGGTGGCCGCCTGACGTTGATCAAGTCTGTCCTGGGGAGTTTGGGAAGTTATTTGATGTCTATTTTTTTGGTTCCCATTTCGGTCCTTAAGTCCTTGGAGGCGTTACGTTCTAGTTTTTTTGGGGTGTAGAGTTGGATGACAGGTGTATGCATTGGATCCAGTAGGATAGGGTGCTGGTTGGGAGGAAAGAAGGTGGTCTGGGAGTTGGTAGTCTTTTCTCTTTTAATAGGGCTATGCTTTTAAGATGGAGATGACATTTTTTTCATAATCCTGATCTCATATGGGTTCGGTTAGTAAAGGTTATCTATGATTCTGATGGAGGTTGTGGTTCTTTAATTCTCAAAAAAGGTTGGATGGGTCCTTGGAATGGTGTCATTCGTATGCTGTCTCATATGCGTGATCGTGGTTTGGATTTGCTTTCTTTATGTCCAATTCGGATTGGAGATGGTAGTCAGACTTTGTTTTGGCAGAATATTTGGAAAGGAGATAGGCCTCTTGCATATATTTTTCATAGAATTTTTGCTTTGGATCAACATAAATTCGCCTTAGTTCGTGACAAGGTGATGATGGGCTGGGATACTACTTCTCTTAGGAGAGTGCCTCGGGGTGGTATTGAGCAGTCCTAGTGGGATGCTTTTTTGTCTTTGATGCAGGGCTTACAACTTAATTCCAGTTCGGATCGGTTGGGTTAACTCTTGGATACGTCTGATCATTTTACAGTCTCTTCAGCTAGGTCTTATATTGATAATGGGATGTTGTCTACAGGTGGTGGCGAAACTTATTGGAATAATTAGGTTCCAATTAAGTTGAATATTTTTATTTGGAGATTAAGATTAAATGGGCTTCCTACTTGACCAAATCTATCTTATAGGGGAATTTTATTGGACTCGATCTTGTGTCCAGTTTGCTCTGCTACGGTTGAGTCTATTGATCACCTGTTCGCTGGGTGTAGTGAGCTGATTGATCTTTGGACTAGAGTTGCCATCTGGTGGGGTGTTCATGTTCCTCAACATCTTTCTATAGATTTGTTATTATTTTGGTCTAATTTGTTCTCTTGGAGAAGTGGTCAACGGAAAGTTTTTGACGCGGTGATTATGATGGCCTTATGGTGCATTTGGAATTTTCGTAATTCCATTCTTTTTGGAACGGTGTTGCCTCTGAAATCAGTAATTTTTGATGACGTGGTCAAAAACTCTTTTTTTTGGGTTTTCAATAGGTGTAGCAAAGCTAATATAGGATGGACTAATTGGCTTCATAATGCTGTCTCTGCTTGTAAGTTGTTGTAATGTTCTTTTTCTAGATTCTTGCTAGTTTTTTAATAAAATTCCTGCCGTTCCAAAAAAAAAAAAAAACTTCTAGCAACCATTTGAGACGCAACAATGAAATTTTCAGTAGCTATCACACAAGAAAAAACGAGGGAACAAATAAGCGTGACAATTGATGACACAACACGACAAAATACACGACACGAAACGAAATTGGGACGAAACTGAAATTCGAATTCGTGTTCGTGTCAAGTGTAAAAAACACGACGTCGTGTCGTGTTCATGTTCAAAATTCGACACGATTTATCATTTGTTTGCCGTGTTTGTCGTGTTATATATGATTAAGTATTAACTAAATAAACTAATTTTTATTTTATTTTATCTTTGTCGTGTTTGTCGTTTTTTAATCGGTTCGTTTTCGTGTTAGTTAAAAAAACACGACATTGTGTCGTGTCGTGTTTGTGTTACTTAAAACTTTGTTGTGTCGTGTCAGACAAAAACACGACACGATGACCCGATTTGCCACCCCTAGGAACAAACGAGTATAAGTGTGACACTTTGTTCTTTATTATATGACATTATATATTAGTCCCTTAATTAATCAAATGCATCAAAACGCTTGGAAACAACCACAAAATTGTTGAACTTTCAATCAACAAAAGCACACCTAAACACTATTTCATTACACTTTTATTGAGACTTGATCATTCAATATCACATAATTACTTTTAAAAATGCATAACTATAAACTTGTTACAACTTCAAGCAACAAAAACACATTCAAACAATATCTTCAAAATTATGCTCCAACCATTTAATTAAATTTGATATCATGGTGTAAATGGAAACATGGTCGACAAAATTAATAATGAATAGAAAAAATAGAAAAAAAAATTAGACATGAGTTCGTGTATAATTACAGTTTTGAACAAAATAAAATAGGCAATGTGCCATGGATTTTGGCATTTTGCAACATTTTTTTTTCATCCGTTAAGAAATTGATAACAAGTTCTCTAGTTCTTTGTCTGATATTTTCTGTTGTGTAGAACATACTTAACAACTTCATAAAAGGATACTACAATACCCACCGATGGGCCTGCACGTGCAACACGTGGCCCAACTCCCATGAATAGTCCCTTCATTCCTCCATCTCTGTTCCAGTCCATCACACTTGTGGTTAATTGATATATTAGAGGAAAATATTATAAATTTTGATATATTAAATATTGTTTCCTGATCAAAGTTAAGGCCTAACTAAAAAAAAGGGATAATGACTTAAAAAGGTAACATATTTTTTGATTTGTACATATTTGGTCACTGAGTTTTTTTTTCGTCCACATTTACCCCTTCAACTTGTTAAACTGTACAGATTCAGTCATTATGTCCTGTTACTCCAGGTTAGCCGGGAAAAATGACTTGATAGGGTAATATATTTTTCATTTTGTACACATTTATTCCTTAATATTTTTGTATATATTTAGTTCTTAACATTTTTTTTTGTTTCAAAATAAGTCATTTTTTTGTACTCATTCATTCGGTACTTATGAATGATTTCTTTAGGTTTTTACACGACATCTTACGTGGGACAATCATTGATGAGGTGTTTGGGGTTGTTGATGCTTATGTCCAACGCGATCTCGACTGCTTGGTTGCGTAAGTCTTGTGGTTTAGCTTAGGTCTTGTATTTTGAACATTGTAACTTCTTCATACGATATCAGATTTTAACGATCTTTATATCCACGTGTTCATTTTTTGAGTCTACTACAATTTTCATTAAGATTACTCCCATTAAAATGTAATATATTTTTACTAACGATTTTATAAAAAAAAAACATTCATACATGCATTCATAAAAAACGTATGGACAGGAGAAGACGTAGGAATACATAGTAGGTATTGCCGAGATGAAATATGTGTTGCCGATACATGGAAAATAGGTATAAACGAAAAAAAAAATTGAAAATTATTCCACTGCGAATAGAAAAAACAGGTGTTGTCGGTGCAACACTGGGACCATACTAAATCCGCCACCGCGTATGGATATAAAAATCGTAAGTAAAAATATATTATTTTTTAATGGGAGTAATCTAAATGAAAGTTGTAGTAGATTAAAATACGAACGCATGGATATAAAGATCGTTAAAATCCGAGATTGTATGAAGAAGTTATGACGTTCAGAACACATGACCTAAGCAACCAAGTAGTCGAGATCGCGATGGATATAAGCATCAAAAGCCTCATTCACCTCATTAATGAATGTCCCACGTAAGATTTCGTGAGAAAAAACTAAAGAAATCATTCATTACTACTGAATGAGTAAAAAATAATGACTTATTTTGCAAAAAAAAAAAAAAATATTAAGGACTAAATGTGTACAAAAATATTAAGGACTAAATGTGTACAAAGTGATAAATATATTACCCTATTAAGTCATTTTTACCGAGTAACCTGGAGTAGCCGGTCATAAGGACTGAATGTATACAGTTTAACAAGTTGAAGGGGTAAATGTGGACGAAAAAAAACTCAGTGACCAAATGTATACAAATCGAAAAATATATTACCCTTTTACGTCATTATCCCAAAAAAAAAAAAAAAAACAGATAGTGGCCACTATGGACATTTTCGAAAATGTAGGTGTATTTTCTAGAAGGGTTTTGGTCATTTTTGGTCACTTAACTTTTGGTTTTGTACTCATTTGGTCTCTTAACTATTTTTAATTTTTAAAAGGTCATCAAACTTTTGACTTGATGCTCATTTAGTCACTTAACTTTTGGTTTGGTCACTTAACTTTTAGATTTATGCTCATTTAGTCACCTAACTTTTAAAATTGTGCTCATTTAGTCACTAAACTTTTAAAAAAAAAATTAAGTAACTAAATTAGCACAAAGCCAAAAGTTTGATGACCTTTTAAAACTTAAAAAGAATTAAGTGACAAAATGAGCACAAAACCAAAAGTTAAGTGACAAAAAATGAGCTAAACCCTTTCTAGAAAAACAAAAATGCAGTGTTTAAATAAGATATTGGGCAAGCCATAATGACTTAGACTTTTATGTTATTATCCTTTAAAAAGATACAGTTTTGTGGTCATATTAAAAAAAAAAAAAAAACAAATTCCATAAAAAACCGTTGCTTGTTTGTTTTTATTTTGTATAATTATTTTGTATAACTACTAAATTTTTTTTTTTTTCTGGTTTAATCACTGAGACTTTTTTTTTTTTTTCTCAAAAAATCCACCAAGTTTTCTCCGGTAATAAATTGCAAATAAAAATGGAAAGATTATTTTTATAGTTAAAGTTGTTTTTTTACAAGTGGTTAAACCATACAAATTCCAAACTATAGTGATTTTCTACAAAAAAAAAAATCAAAACTTTATATAATGGTTTCTTTAAAAAAAAGGAAAACAAACTCAAAAAATTCTTTAAGTAGTTAAAACTAAAAAGAAAAAAAAAGTACAATGGTTCTTATGGAATTTGGCCATTAATTATTTATTATGTAACACAAAGACAAATAGGTGATGGTGTCAAGTGTCAACCCGGCCGTTTTGACCTTCATTGAAAAATTACCCGTTTGACCTTTTACCATTGTCATAGGAGTTAGGTATGGAAGTTGTAATCTTTATAGATTCGAGTCCTCTCACAAATACTAATTATGCTTATGTAATTAGTAACTTGTGTAATTTGTGCATTAATTTTATTTAAAAATTCCTTTTACGAATGTATTGTGATAGAAAATATAAATTGGTGTTAAAGATGCTTACCTCCATATTTCAATCAATGTTTGCCTTGTGGTCATTTTCATCGCTCGTACTTGATCTTTCTGAAATTGACAACAAAAACATATTTACCATAATACCCCTAAAACCAATTTACATTTAAATCAAACTTGTTGGCATTTAATATACATTTTCATCATAAATTTTTAGTAATTACTTTTAGAGTACCACCTCTATTTGACGCCGGGTTTTGGCAACGTCTAAAGGACATGTACATGCGCCAGCAAGGCATCCTGCAACAAACCCACCACAAAAGTTTGCACCAACAACAGTCACAGGACTTGACACGTCACCTGCTGACATGGCAAATATTTGTCTCCTCACCTGTAACAAAAACACAAGAGATAATGGATTTATTAACTTTGACCTAAAATAGATGATAACGGAAATGGAATTACTTTATTTTGTAAGTCTCACAGGTTCAAGAGTAGCCCAACAAATTGCAGAAAATGGAACATCACGTGCTAATTGGGCCCCAAGCCCAGTCCACAGGAATCTAAACCTATGTAATGCTGCAAAATGGATGAAAATTTGCTTCATATACAAAATATATAATACACACATAGAGATCATGTGAGAAACAAATTTTTTTCATGAATATTGTATCAACTAATCTGATCCGTTGATTCAATAAGGGCATGAATGTCAATTCGTGGTTGGTGTTTTTTTTTTTCTACATAACTTATTTGGTTACAAACTTGACTTAATTTTTATTAGAAAACATTAAATATACCAAAATTCGTATTTTTATCGTACAAATAGAGAGCAATCTTGACATATTTTGAAAATTCGTAAATTTGAATCATATCACTTATGATTCTATATTGAATCGTATTGAAAAGAATGCAATATTACAGATTGAGAAAAGTATATGAAAATATTTCAAGACTGGTCTCTATTGTATGAAATAAAAAAAAAATACAAATTTTGATGTATCTAGGGTTTTTAATCCAAAATAAAGTCAGGTTTATAATGAAATAAGTTTTGTTGAAATTTTTTTAACTAAACATCGGCATATTTACAATTATGCCACCACCTCCATTACTTTTCCAAACTAATCCGGACCATTGATTAATCAAATAAATGGATCATAATAGTGGATCTTAAGCCTATACACACACACACACACACATATCCACTTACAGCTTCCAAGGGTACCCGTGCTTCTGTTTGTGGAGATTACCCCATCGAGTGTTTTCAACACTCCTGGAGGCTTTTTACCATGACGGGTATCTTTAAACGCCTATTACAAGTTTCAATTATTTAAAAAAAAAAAAAAAAAAAAAAAGTAAAATAAAAATATGAGATGTTGTTATATATATTACCTGCATACGGGTTCTTGCAAGTTCAATAGGATAACAAGTAATACAAGCAAGTGAACGAGCAACAGAACCAGCAACTAGGGGGACATAAGGAGTCATGCTTGGTGCATTTTGTGATGAATATTCTTCCATAAAATTGCACAAAATGTCATAACAAGGCAAGTAGATGCCCACCTGGCAACAATCGTCACAAATTATTATATAAATAAAAAACTAAGGCTAAATCTCATAAAAACCACTATAATTTATGTTTTTTTTTTTTTTTTTTTTTTTTAAATAAAAAAACAACACTAATAATTAATTGGAATATTTTTTGGTTAAAGTTGGTTCTTTTAAAAAAATTCAAAGTTTTAATGGTTATAACATAATAAAGTATTCATCAGGTGGTTAAACCGAACAAATATCAAAGTGGTTTGTATAGAATTCAAAGTTTTATGTAGTGTTTTTTTTTTTTTTTTTGGGAAAACAAAATATACTAAAAGTGGTTAATTAAAGCAGAAAAAAAATATATTTTGTTGGTTAAACCAAAAGAAACCCAAAGTATAGTGGTTTTTATGAAATTTAGACAAAAAACTAATCATTGATTTAAGAGAAAATTGCAAATATAGCCAAATCCCTTAATTACTTTGTAGAAAATAGCAAAAAAAAAAACCCAAATTACAAATATAGCCATGAAAATCGCAGATGGATTAAGCCCATCTGCGATTTCAGCATTCCATCTGCGAACGTACAAGTTGCTAAGGCACAGCCGTGCTTAAGTGACTTGTACATTTGCAGGTTGATTTTTTTTTAGTTTTTTTTTTTATTTTTTCCGTATAAATACCCCCATATCTGACTAAAATCGCAGATGAATTTCCTCTCATCCTGTTACGCATCCACTATATCATGTTATTTTAGATAGGGGTAGTTTGGGAAATCAACAAATAAAGAGCATCTTACTAGTGCAAGGAGAATTAGGGGTATTTTGGGCATTTCATATTGTTAGTTTGTTATGTCAGATAGTATAAGAGGGTAGTGGAAAGGGAGAGTGAGGGATCCATCAATATTTTGTGAATCTGGAATTTATTCCTTGGGAGAGTAGCTATCTCGAATCAGCTAACCTATCATTTGTTTTTGTAATCTTTTGGGTAAATTTGAGGTTATCAATCAGTATTTGAAGCTTTTAGTTGAATTGTTGTTATTGAATCTGTTCTTATAAGTCCAGTTCATAACACATCCCACCTGCAATTTTGCGTTTTTTTATTATTATTAATTTTTTTACTACGAAATTGACAGGGTTTAACTACGAAACAACCTTATTATATATAAAGTTTTGCAAAAAATTATCAATTTAATTGTTATTTCTTTGAAAATTTTGTTTAAAACATCTCTAATAAAATGAATTCTCCAACAAAAAGTTTGAAAAATGTTTGAAAAAGGAAATCGTCCATAGTGCTTCCAGAAAGAAAGAGTTCTACAAAAAAAAGTTTGAAAAATGAAAGGAGAAAAAAAAATTATGTTTTTATACCCCTGAAAAAAGGGAAATCACAGATGGATGCAAAATCACAGATGGACAGAGTCCATCTGCGAATGTACAAGTCGCTAAGCACATATGTGCTTTAACGACTTGTACGTTCGCAGATGGACTGAGTCCATCTGCAATTTTGGTGGCTATTTTTGTAATTTAGGTTTTTTTGGTTATTTTCCACAAAGTAATTAAGGGATTAGGCTATTTTTGTAATTTTCTCTTGATTTAAAAATTAGGAAATAAAATGTAATACAGGTCAAATAACTTACTGTGGGGACAGATAATGCTAAACTTGCAGTTGTACCCCTCCAAAGTCTGCCAAATCCTTCCTGCCAAAATCAACTCCAGTTTCAGAAAATATAATGTATTTTTTTATAGAGAAAAAATGTGTGAAATTTGCTGACCTGGCGTATAACTTTGTAGAAGACATCTAGAGTGCCTTTATATGGAGAACATGATGGTTCACCAAGAACTGATCGGTAGCATGATGGAAAACATCTTGTATCTGGTAACATCTGATTCATTGATAAATCAATTTCTATTAGGGTTCCAATTAGTGTCTTTGAAATTAGATACTCTTTATTCCAGACTTGAGAGTATATTTCTTCATCCAAATTGCCATGGAAAAAAAAGATTATTTTCACATCCATTTGCTCAAGCTCAAGATCTAGACTAAAAACTAGGTCAAGTTGTCACAACCAATGATAGTTAAAGTGCTATGGACTTAAGCACGTACTTTACTGATATCCGTTATCACTGATTTAGAGAAGCAATTGAGGGAGAATAACTGAAGTTGTAAAAAATCAACACAAATGGGCAATGGCAATCCGATGGACAGATTTTCCACCATAGCCTCCTTTGCATTTAATGTCTTACACAAAAAGAGAAGAAAAGTTTGCAAATTTTAATGGTTTATTTTTTAATTCAGCAAAAGAAGTCGACCAGAACACAACAGATTCACATCATAAAGGCGACACATAACAAGAGATTCATATTACAAGTAAAAGTAAACCATGAAAACATTAAAGATTAGCGCACCGTGTTAGTACCAAAGGAACATGTGTGGCTTAGATTCTGAAAAGGAACACCAGCAGCCTGAGCTTGCAACCTTGTCTGTAAAATTAAAGGACACATAAAACCATGAATTAGGCCTGCAATTTCAAAATGAAGGTACTTAGTAGCATCCATTAAACATGATTCGTTCAAAAAAAAAAAAAAAAAAAAAAGCAGAAACCCCAACGAATTGCAGGGGAATCTAAGAAAATAGTACCTTGGCGACATCGAGGGGGTTGACTATGATGGCGGACAAAAACGCGGCCCCGGCGGCTGATAACGCCCTTTCCGAGAAACCCATATTGACATTCGAAGGAGAAGCCATCGAATTCGTTTGAATTGACGAAGAATTTTGAAAATTAATCTCACTTGATGATGATGATGATGATGATGATGCCTCTGCACTCATCGACGCCGACAACCGCTGCCTCGGTGACGAGCTCGCCGTTCCTGAATTATTACTTTCAATCGTACATACGGAGATGGTATAAAATTGTTAAACACCGTTGAATTGGGTTGTTTTACGAAGGTTGCAGGAAATCGCGAGGATTTGGTTTGCTTTGCTGCCTAATATGAGTCCTATTACGTGTTCGACGAAATGCCCCAAATGGAGAAATTGGTTGGGACTTGGAAATTGGAATTGTAGGGTGTCTTCTCGTTTTGCATGGAGGAAGTGTGGGATTCGTGGCGTGGAACAAAGGCCCCAAGACATCCAAACATGAGGGAGGTGGCACGGTGGCCTGCAGCTACGCATTCATTAATTTTATACATTAAAGGAAACTACTTGTTCAATACTTGTTTGAAATAAACTCGAAGTAAACCCAAAACAAAACCAAAACAAACTTTAAAATTAATTCTTCACTATTTGAAATAAACTCAAGTTTGTTGTTGTTTTTTTTTTCCTTTTTTTTAAAACTTTTTTAGGTTTTTCATACCCAATTTTTTGTTTTTCCATATATATATATATATATATATATATATATATATATATATATATATATAGATATATATATATATATATATATATTGAAAGTTTCACAATGATAGTACAATTTTTTTTCCAAAACATCCTTTTAAACATTTCATGGTACGCATTTCAATTTCCATGTATACATAATGAATTTCTTCTTGGTGTTTGTGTATTTTGTCAAAGTTGTTTGCTCTAAATAAAAAAAAATCAAACTTTTGTATGTTTAAGGTCTTGTGGTATGGTAGGATTCTCACGCATGAAATATTGATGTGAAGTACATCTTCACTAGTGAACAACATCCCAAGGGCTAGTGGTTGTGATGTGGATTGGTATGCATCATTTATGATTACGAAGAGTCTTGTTGGCTGAGCAAAAGTTGGAGGCTCTCATTGGTTTCTCTCTCTCTCTCTCTCTCTCTCTCTCTATATATATATATATATATATATATATATATATATATATATATATATATATATATATATATATATATCTTTCTTGTTCACTAGATGTTCATTAGTGAACACCACCAAAGCTAGTAGACATGTGGTGGAGTGAATATTTGGATGATGTGGTAGCCCTAAACGCATAAGAAACACAAAACCATTCCTTTTAGCCTAAAATGTTTATTCTCTAATTGGTATCACAGTAAACTAAGAGCATGAAATGAACTAGTGTAGGTTTATGGACTTTGAATTCCTAGTGGACTACTAATGATTTAAATATATATTAATATGAAATTAGTATTTTTTTTTAAATTACTTAATTTCGTTTTTAATCAAATAAGGTTGTTTTTGTGAAGTTATCAGTGTTGTATTTTGACAGCTTCATGTCAATCTTATTTAAAGAAGTCAAATCTGACTTTTTGGATCTCTTAGATAAACCGAAATCACAAGCAAATTCAATTTTTCCGTCTCAATTCCATGAATGCATACAATAGATTCGTTATAAATTAAGTTCTTGTGCAAGAACTTAATTTTAGATAGTTGTATCATAAATTGAGAAGTATGGAAACTATTGACAAAAATAAGAACCAATTTCTGTCTTAGGACATTACGTTTTGTAAGCTTCTATTTGTTTATAATCTTTAAAATTCGTTTAGTAAATTTATGTTTATGTTTCTTGATCTCATCTCTATTTGATTTATGTAACAAATAAGTTGTTATATACTGTTTGATAACATTTTTTCTAACATTTTTAACTATTGATTTTTTTCCCATAGCAAATAATATTTTGCAATATGACCTTTTTTCGAAAAAACACCGTTTTAGGCATTTCGTACTGTCAATTATAATTTTTGCAGTGGACACTGCAAAATTGTTGGTTATATGGGCACTTGCTTTTTTTTTTTTTAATTTTGGGTTAATTTTTAGAAGAAATTTGAGCCATTTTTGTCTTTTTCTTAAGTTGTAATAAAATATGTGATTATTTTTTCATTTGTAATTATTTGCATCTCAAATCCACCATGACCGAATTGCCAACGAAACAAAAAAACTATAAAATAGTAATTGAATTTAATTTCATGTCAACCATATACATAATAGAACTAATCATTCGAATTTCAGTTTTAATAAATTCTAAATCTTTCCAAAACAATATAGGCCTTAACAAGAAATATGAATGGGTTGGTTTACATAATATGATTGGAATGAATTGAATCTATAAAGAATTAAAATATGAATATTATTTGTTTGGTTGAGATATGGAATGAAATCTATTTTCTGTTTTGTTTGTAAATTTAGTAAAGGAATTGGATAGGTAAATTATATAATTGTGACCAAAATATATATTTTTATTGATTTTTTGCAACTTATTATTATTTTTCTAATAAAAATTACAAATTTCCATTTAATTAAAAAAAAATCATTTATTAGACGCTTACTCGTTAAACCTATGTTTTCTCTCTTGAATTACATATAATATATAAAACAAAAATATAGCTTTACAAAATGAAAATATATAATCGAGCTTAATAAAAAACAATTAATAAACATATTGTTTTAAGATTATGTATAGGGAAATATTTAAAGAGTTGAATAAAGAAAAAGAAACCATGTACATTCGCATTTAAAATATCAAATTTGGTATCTTTTTGGACAAATCTTTATATCCTTGTGAGGCATTCTGGATAAATCTAATAACAAACATTTGCTAGAAGCACATCCATTTATTTTATATAACCCACCAACAAGAAAAAAACCATTGAATCAAAAAGGATAAAAGTTTATTCCCAGATATAAGACTCCTACAACTCCCGAATTCATATTACACATACCAATACCATAAGTTGAGTTGTTTTATATTAATCTCACACGGACAAATAGACAGACCATACTCTATAATTACACTAAACTCTATCAGTGGCCAGTTTCAAGGCAAAATCTGGAACTAAATAAACATTCCAGATTTGCCCCTCGAAATCTAAAACCACCATATATAATCAGATTCAGACCAAACCCCTAAACCCTTGGACTCATTTCTTATATCACCCTAACCAACTATATCCTGTTAGATAAATAACTCCAAAAATCTTGAAAAAAAAAAAAACAAAACCCAACAACTAAAAACATTACTTCATCGTTTGTTTGTTTGTTTGTTTGTCATAGGATTATAACATTTGAGTAACTAGCCAGCCGCCACAGCATCAGCCCTTGGACTTGAGTCAAGAAGTTGACGCGTGTTTGTGTTTGTGTTTGTGTTTTTGTTGGTTTCATATAATTCTCCTGAACTGTTATCCACTCTTGATATCAGGTTAGCAGTGCTCAGAGACGATACATCCTTCAGTTTTTCCTGTAACATAACAAACGTGTATATATATATATATATATATATATATATATATATATATATATATATATATATATATATATCAAGGTTGTAGAAATCGCTCGACGGTGGACTGGGTCAAGCGATTAATCGGCTAGGCAGGGATTAATCGGGGACCATTAATTATTAAAAATATTATTAAGTTTAATAAATATAACTTTAATACTAAGAATAAAAGTAAACAAGTTAACAAATAATAAATATGTAATACATAATTTATTTTTCTTTTCAATTTGGATATTTCTTCTCTTAAGCATTTTGTCAAACACTTGGCATGCTAGCTTGATTCTCACCAATGTCACAAACACCATAAGGACTATATAATCCATATCGATCAGTCGATCACATTTATCCATTTGTGCACTCAAATAAAGATCCAACATTCTTTCGATCCAAATGAGCCGTTGAATGTCACAAACATAATTTGGATTCAAAATCATTCAGGAATCTGTGGGTACCCTTTGGAATCAAACCCGTTCGTGTATTCACCTACTGAAGGATCGGTATCGGTTTTCCATGCTACGAGGTTGTTAGTTATTCCTCTTACAAAATCAATTCCGAATTTCATACTTGGAAGAAACATATTTCTCAGTGAGTATTGATATCGGTGGTTGATGGTGGTTCAAGGGGTATAAGGAGATGGTTTGGAGCTGGAAATAACACGAAAGCATCAGAGGTGGTTGCTATGGAGGTGTTCTCGGTGGTTTGTTGCAGGTATGAGAATTGAAGACGAAGACAACAACAAATGAGAGTTGAAGATGAAGACAGGGGTTGTCGATATGGTTTGTTGCAGAGGTGGTTGCTATGGAGGTGTCCTCGATCGCCTGTTACTTACATACACACATAGTGGGGAAAAAGAGATGCAAAGAAGCTGTGAAAATTTGGGAGTTATCGGGATTAACTGAAGCTGTGAAAATTTATTGAAACACAGAATCAATGAAAAATTAATTGAAAAGACAACAAGCAATTGAAGACAGCAGGTTGTAGATCGAGAGAAAAAGCTAGGGAAGAAAGAGATGCGAAAAAGAGATATTAAATAATTAAAAGTTCATCCCACATCGCTGGTGGGAGCATTCTTTAAAGGAAAACTTGCTCTATAAAAGGAGCTTGTATCTCTTGTAAAACCAAGCCCAACAATGTTTTTGGCAAGCCGGCTCTTTGAGCTGGCGGGACCCTTGGAATTAGCTAGACCGATTTGGTCCAATTTGATGTCCGAGTTGGTCCGATTTAGTCCGATTTGGACCGAATTGGACCGATTTTGACCGATATTGACCATGAGCGACTAGCCAACCCTCTAACCCCTATTCGTAGGCGGTTGGTGTCCGCCTAGCGCCTAGACGCCGATTAATCGGCCGCCTAGACCGATTTTTGCAACACTGATATATATATATATATATATATATATATATATATATATATATATATATATATATATACAGAGAGAGAGAGAGAGAGAGAGAGAGAGAGAGAGAGAGTAAATTACAGTTTTGGTCCCTCAGTATAGTTGAGTCTTACAATTTTGGTCCTTGGTTCTTGTAACGTTTTCAAATAAAATGACTATTGTTGATCCTTGGTTCTTATAACGTAAAATGACTATTTGGACCCCTGTGTATAACTGACTTTTGCAACTTTGGTCCCAAAGTTAGTCATTTTAGTTGGAGCAGGGACTGAAATCGTTACAAAAATCTCAAACCAAGAGAAACTTTTTGAGACCAAAATTGCAAAAATCAGCTATACGCAGGGACCAAACACATTATTAAGAACCTCAAACAAGGACCAAAATTGCTGAAAAATAACTATATTCAGGGACCAAAAAATGTAATTTATTAATGTAAGTATGTAATAGTAGGTCTGGTTTTAGTCTTACCATTAATTCAGCATTTTGAAGCTTCAATTTCTCTGAATTATCAGTTAATCGGTTAATTTCAGACCTAAGGCTCAAGTTTTCACTGTTAAGAGCTTCAACTTTTACAGCAAGTTCTTCAGCTTCAGCCTGGAAAATAGAGGAAATTTCAAACTGATTTGTCAAAAAAAAAAAAAAAGTTCAGTTTTACAATTTTACCCTTGCCATCATGAAAAAAACTCGATACCTGTTTCCTCAATCTTGACCTTCTAGCAGATTCTCGGTTAGACTGCTTTCTCTTCTCCCTTTTTAGTTCTCGGTCATTCTGCTCATAATTTTATTCACACAAGTTAAACTCACAGACGACAATAATAGCAACATACTTTACTCTTTTAAATAATATAGAGTATGTACCATAATAGCAACATACTTATGTTTTTTAAACTGTATGTAACTCATAATAGCCATATTTTATGGTTACATTTTATGTACACATAATAGCAATGTACTTACAATTCATAATACCAACAGACTTACAATTCTTTACTGATGATAGCAATATACAAAGAATGAAGTACATTGCTATTATGGGTAAAAAACAAAGTACAATCCTATTGTAATTCTTTACTAATGATAGACTTATTTACTCATATAATTCTTTACCTATAATAGCAATATGTAGCAAATAAAGTGTATTGCTATTATGCGCAAAAGATTAAGTACGTTATCGATTAAATATTTTACACATAATAGCAGCATACTTACACCGATAATGGCAGTATGTAACAAATAAAATACAATGTTCATATTGGTAGCAAAATGTATAGGCCTTTTGACATAAAAGTCCTTAAGTTTGGCAAGTTTTGTCAGTTTTGTCCCTGCGATGATTTTTTGTTTGTTAATGTCTAAAATTTCCCCTTTTTTGCCCTTTTACCTGTAATAGCAGGTTTCCAGGGACAAAATTTGACAAACTTAAGGACTTTCATGTCAAATTTGAAAAACATATTTAGGGTAAAAACATAAAAGATTGTAAACTTAAGGGTTTTTTTGCATGTTTAAAAAATATACTTAGGGTAAAAACATAAAAATTTGTAACAAGGGCAAAAATGAAAAAAACTTGGCAAATTTTGGACATTAACGAACAAAAAATCGTCACAGGGACAAAATCAACAAAACTTGCCAAACATAAGGACTTTTATGTCAAAAGCCCAAAGCAATTTGGCTACCGAAAGTGTAAAAAAAAACAGACCTGAAAAAGTGCTTCATTAGGCATCAATGTAACAATGGGTGAAGTGATGTCAGCAGCTGTATTCGGAAAATTCTTGAGATTTAATGCGGACACAGGATTGGGAGAAAGAATCCCGACACCTGTCATCATTTTACTGGAAGCTCCATCTGCTCTTTGTGGCTCAGCCTTCTCAACTTCAGCTGATGACATAAAGGTTTTATTTTATTTCTTTTTATAAAACTTTATTCTCCATTAACATAAAGATTAATTTATGTGGATGTGAAACTTACAAAGAATAAGCGACCCTTCACTGCTTCTTTTCCCACCATTTTTACCTCGCTAAAATAACATGCAACAAGAAGATTTAGACACACATATGAATGTTACAAAAAATTTAAAAGTTTAATTTCTTACCTCAGTTGTATTCCCATCACTTCCTTCACTTGTTCCTTCAGTCTCCCCACTGTTTTATAAAATTCAAATCTTTATATGTGGAAACATGTAAAATTGACCAATATAGGCATGATGCAAGTTATGGTACCTGTGTGAGTTTCCACCTTCACCATTTGATGGATTGCCTATTGACATTGCCAACCCATCAAATCCTTTTAATTTCTTCATCAGGCCCCTATCAGAACCCCCTGATGACTTGGCAGGTGAATCAATGTTCAGAGGACTATTTGCCTGTATTAATTTTAATTATCACAAACATTATTCTAAATCATAAAATTGAAGAATTTGGTCACATTATGATCTTAGAAAGGTCAACAAGACTTACAAGATGAACTGCAGGATGTGCATAAACACCTCCATGTGGATAGAAAGCAGCATAGGGTGGCATCATATGCTGATTTTGTGATTTTGCAAGTAAAAAAAAAAAGTCAACAGAAAGGTCAACCTGATAAATCTAAAGGAATGAAGATAATTGTCTGCATGTTGTACCTGTGGAGGACCCCACATATAAGGGGGAGGGGCGTGACCAGATGCAACAGCTGGATTGTAGTATGGTGGCACAGCCATTCTAGGGCCATAATATGCCTGTTGAAATATAAATATCCAAAATAAGACTTGATTTAATAAAATTTAGATGGTTTGTGTATTTAATTAACCTGCATGGCTGCCCAATCTGGATATACATGAACACTCGTCTGTTGTTGCTGCTGCAAAGTTAAAGTCATACAACTTCATAAATACAAAAAAAAAAAAAAATGAATATAGGAAGGAAAAAGAAAACTACAAGATTTACATGTAGTGTAAGAGAGATAAAACAAAATTTGGGAGCTTACTGGTGGAGGTGAAGAAGATTTTTCAGGCTTACAATCTTGTGCCTCTTCACTGATCCCCATGGGAAAGCACCTAAAACTGTATCAATGAAGATATGGGAAATCCTTTCTACAGATACTTGCTCACTCAGCTGCAAAAGGACAAGAATGTCAATATGACACGAATATGAACAAATAGAATTTCTAGGTTCTACTTATGGGAACATGTTAACGTCACCCGACAATTTGAATTCGAACGCGAGTGAATATACTATCATTCGTCACCCATGTTGATTACATTTGTTTTTGGATCATTTAATCCATGCATGCCTTTCAAACTGGAGTTCCAGCATATCGATTTTAGATTTATAAGAAAACAAAGCCTCCATGTTAATTTAAAACATCCAAGTTCATGCTTCTCTAAACTGGATAAACAACAGAATTACTTCCCCAGGTCCAGAAAGCCAGTCTACTATATGGAACTTATTAATCTTCATTCAAAACAAAAGGGGAAATCTTTAGAAGTAAAAGGATGAGTATCCTTCCTAAGATCCATATATAACAATAGGAAAGCAACACAGCACCGACCAAGTATTACCAATCCAGGATAAACTAGTAACTAATTACCAAATCTACCCTCGTATAGCGGACAGTAGAACATGCCAAAAAATAGAAATTTCCACAAAAGTTAACAGTTTTGTTTATTTAATAAAAAGATGTGAAAAACGAAAACAGACAAGAACGTGATAATTTTGTTACAGTTTCCTGTTTAAGTTTATCTAATTCTCCGATTATTCTCCCCAATTCTGATCTATCGCTACAATCACGTCAAAAGCATATATAGACATGTAGCTCATGAAATGCTATACATAAATAGCAAAAAGCTATGAATCCAAGCTAATTCAGCATCAAATTATGACAACAATAACCGATTAATTCACGAGATGTCGCCGTAATTCTTAGAAAAAAACGAAACAATTCAACTAAAAACGATCAAATTATGAATAACAAGAACTAAATTACGTTACAACAAACAATTAATACAGAATCTGAACAAATTAAAGCTTGAAATTAAACATACCTAAGTTCGAACAAATTCACTGCTGCATTTTCTCTCTCTAGAACTTTCTCTCACTAAAACAAGGGAGGAAGAAAGCAACACTCCACGTCACCGGACGCGTGTTCGTGTGTTAACGTGTATAAATATACGCTCCACCTACTTTTCCAGAGACAAGAGTTTAAAACTCAGCTAATTATACAATGCTTAATGCATAATGTACAAGTTTCTTTTGAGGTATTGCTCAGAGTTGGAGAATAACTTATCTGGAAAAGTAAGTTTTCTAAAATAAAAGAAAACATAAAAATAATGTGGTGGTTGAGCTGGCCCATTGATTATCGTGCTGGCCGTTTTTGTTATCGCTTAGTTTAATATTGTCAATAAATTACACTTTGTTCCCCTCTACAATTTCCATTTATCGTTCTGGCCCATACATTTCTCTTTTGGTTGTTTTATGCTTGAATAAATTTACCATAAACCACGAATTAGGTTTGACAGATTCACCGTTTTACGGTTTTGTCAAATTGAGATGTGTTGTCCGTTTTTACGGTTTAAAACATTTTAATGACATATAATGTATAATCAAAAGAGACAATAGGACATGTTATGAAACTGCTTGCAAGATGTTTAGATTTTTTTATTCTTTTTTAATTCTTTTAGATTGTTGATTTGGTATATTTTTCTCATATTGTTTGTGTATGGTTAAATCGTACATTTGTATTTTTATTTATAGATTTTTCAATGCATACATATTATATCTATTTGTGTGTAGATATGTCGAAGAAGCCCCCACTAAATTTATTTATGTCTTTGCACCCTCACCGCATATAAATCGATATTTGTGAATTATGGAGAATAATGTTTTTTTTGTCATGATTGATATTATATTAACACACTTGATGGGTTGTCTTGCTTGCAAAGTTGAAGGGCATAACAAGGAACTTTGAATACTGAAAGGTGTAGTTTGAGTTATCTAAATAAACTGGGGGATCAAAGTCATCCAATCGCTTAATATCCAAGATCACCATCATCGTACACGTGTTCGAACAGGAGTCGACCTACACGTCCTGAAAACTCAGCCGATTAGTACGCCAGGCATGTGGCCGGGCCCGGACTTAAGCCGTTCATTATAAAACAAGTGGAACATTAAATTGGCAATACTAAATTAATAAATACTGTTTATTAACAATATTTTTCTTGAGATATTACTCTTTAAGATTAGTTTTTGATGAGGACCAATATAAGTTTTAATGAGATTTCGAGGGTCTCTGGGGTTGTTTATTAAAACAGCTAATGTTTGTTAAAACTGTTATTTTTTAGTATATGTGGTATGAGTTTATGAAGAAGATATATGGATCAGCTTAGATGGTACTGTGGTAACAAATCATAGTAAATTATCAGTTATATTTAATATTTGAGGAGAGATAGATATAGAGATAGTAGAGATATTAATTAATTAAGGAAAAAAAGGAGACGGGCGAAATTAGTGTTAAATGTTCGCGAAATAAGAAATGGTTGAAACGGGCAGAGATATATAGAGATAGAGATAGATATTATATATATATAGAGATATAGATATTAGACTGTATTTTGGCATAACGATATGGTAGGCGGGGCCGGCTCGGTGTTTTAGAGAGAATATATATAGATTAGATAGAGATAGATATAGATGCACAAACAATTAAAAAACTCACTAACCAGTGAGAGGGGTTAGGGAGTTAATTGTTTAGGAGAATATGATATATATATAGAGATATATAGAGATAGATATATTATAGATAGAGATAGATATAGAGAGATGCACAAACAATTAAAAAACTCACTAACCAATATCACTCACCACCTACCACCACTACCTACCACACACCACCACCACCTCCTCCACCACCCATCACCACCCACCACCTACCACTACCTAACCACCACCACCCTTCTTCACCACCCATCACCACCACCCGTCACCACCACCCATACCCACCACCCGCCACCGCCACCGCCACCAACCATCACCCACTACCAACCACCATCCCCATCCACCACTAACCAAACACCACCATCACTATCACCCGCCCCCACTACTAACCATCGCCACCCCCACCCTCACCCACCACCCATAAAAACCACCACCCACCACCACCATTACCACCTATCACCATCACCACCCACCATTTACCATCACCAACTACCACCACTACTTGCCACCACCACCCACCTACCAACACCCACCACCATTCAACATCACCAACCACCATTACCCCCGCCTAACATCCGCCAAAACCACCACCTACCACCATTACCACCACCCTTACCGTCAACCATCACCCACCACCACAACCACCACCCACCACCACAACCATCACCACCCGTACTTGCCACCACTACCACCAAACATCACCACACGCCACCACCACTCGCCACCACCATCCATCACCACCACACGTCACTACCCATCCACTAACACCACACGTCATCACCACACGCCACCACCACTCGCCACCACAACCACCACAACCCTTCACCGCCCACCATCACCACCCATCACAACCTACCACACATCACCACCACACCTCATCAACGCCTATTGCCACTACACCCTCACGACCCACCATCTATATAAATCATATATTATTAGATACATATAATCACATGTGATTAAATGTATTTAATCACATATGATTAATGTTGACAAAGAAGATTATTGAATCGAGAACGCAATAATGAATCTTGACCATATAAATCATATGTTATTTGACATATAATCACATGCGATTGTATGTATTTAATTATATATGATTTATGTGGACAATATTTATTTTCGCAATTTCAATTCAGTAATTGGTCTCGTGTATTTGATCTCATATGATTATATATATTTAATCGCATATGATTTATGGGGACAAGATTTGTTTTTGTGTCCTTGATTCAATAGTTGTTCTCGTGTATATAATCATATGTGATTATATATCTAATCACATATGATTTACATAGACAAGATACATTTTTTCCAAATAAAATCATATGTGATTAGAAAAATATAATCACATATGATTAATTATATTTAAACACATATGATTAAAGTGGACAAAGAACAATTATTGAATCGAGAACATGAAAACGAATATTATTTAATCACATATGATTTATATGGACAATATTTATTTTTGCGTTTTTTATTTAATAATTAGTCTCGTGTATTTAATCACATATGATTATATGTATTTAATCACATACAATTTATGTGGACAAGATTCGTTTCCACCACTACCAACACCCGCCACCCACAACCACCATAAACCAACTATCACCCACGACCCTTATCACCCACCACCCACGACGACCACCACCCCCCACCACCTTCACCACCACCCATCTCCACTATACCACCACTACCTACTATCTGCAACCAAATGTGATTGAATGCATATAATAACATAAATCATGTTTGATTCTATGTATTTAATCACATATAATTACATATGATTTATGTATATAATATTCTTATCGCATATTCGATTCATTCGTTGGTCCCGTGTATTTAATCAAATGCGATTGTATGTATCTAATCACATATGATGTATGTAGAAAAGATTTTTTTTTCGTGTTTTTGGTTCAATTGTTGTTCGTGTGTATATAATCACATGTGATTATATGTATGATGCATTTAATCACATATGACTTATATGGACAATATTCGTTTTTGCATTTTCTACTTAATAATTGTTTTTCATTTATTTAATCACACGTGATTATATGTATTTTATCACATTTGATTAATGTGGATAAAGAACAACGATTCAATCGCGAACGTAAAAACGAATCTTGTGCAAATAGATCATTTGTGATTAAATACATATAATCACATGTGATTATATGTATTTAATCAATGTGATTATATATATTAACAATTTTAATATAAAAACTGAGAAAACTGATTTCTATAATTTTTTATTTATGATTACCAAAGAAAATAATTACATCGATAAAGATTAAATAAAAGAATTTTTTTTATAAAATCTGGTATGTTTTTTTTATTAAAAACAAATGTTACCTTCAATTGGAGATTAACACTTTTGAGGAGGAATTTAAACTCACGAAGTATGAGGATTTCTTTGTACATTCATTTTTCTTTTTTCCTTTTATCAAAAAAAATTTGAACGACGTTTACTGTACATAGCACAAATCCTAATTCCATCGTTTCATCGCTTTACGCCTCGTTCCCGAGTTTAACAAAAGAAAAGAAGAGAAGAGAAAATAAAATCATGAGAGAAAAGAAGAGAAATGAAAGGAAAACAAAATTTTCTTTCATGTTCCCGAGTTGGAGAGAAGTGGAAGGAAAATGAATCATTTTGTTCTTTCTTTCCAAATCCTCCCAAATCGGAAGGAAAGTTAGGAGGGAAAATGATCCTCCCATTTCTCTCCACTTCCTTCTACTTCCATCCTTTAATGAAACTCGGGAACACCAATTTTTTTTTTATTTTCTTCTCATTTCCACTCATTTCCTTTCTTTTCTCTTGTTATGTTGAACTCGGAAACGGAGTGTTAATCTATTAAACCTTCATTCCACATACATCTGTATTTAAAATTTTGTTGAATCATATATATGTGATTGGAAGATAATATCTCTCAAACGATGAAGAAACTGAGTTTGAAAAAATCTGCCGTTGGTATATAAGATTTGTATTGAGCTTAAATCTGTCTTAGGGTTTGGGGATAAAGTTGGCAAAATGTTTTACTAAGAAAGGCAGGAAGTGCGAGACGATGGATGAATTCGATGGTAAATTAAAGGAAAACAGGGCTAAGAAGGCTGATTACTTTGTTCACACTATGTTGAAAACCATTCATGTGATTTTGGCTCTGAAAGCAAAGTGTAAATCTAAGTATGATGATAATGGAACGAAGTCGATTGTGTTAACTAATCGAAATCGAATATAGAGTCAAATGTAGATCCGGATTTGGTGAAACAAGTGGGTGGTGCTTTTTCTGACATGTTAAATTCCTACTAGATGCTTTTCCCGCTGATTCAAGGAGGTGGTTAAGGGCGACAGTTTTGGGAGGGGAGAGGCAGAGGTGATTTCAGATTCTATAGTAGCGGACGACGGTGGGAGGAGTAGAGGCGGAGGGATGTGGTTAG